GACTGAGGGCTGCTGGGAGTAGGGGGGGGGGCTTGTTGCATGTGCCCACCCTCTGGGCTCCTTACTGCCGGAGCTCCGCTCATGTGCACTCCCGCAGGAAATGACCCCTGGTAATACCAAACTTGGGGGGGCACCCAATGAAGTGTTGTTAGGAAACAGGCAGGCTCGTAGTCAAGATTTTTTTTGTTCTGAGGGGCATTTAAAATTTTAAGGGGGCAGTCAAATTACAGTTCATTGCATTAATCTGAATGCCGGTCTGTGGTCAACTTCCTCTTACATAAGGTTAGTCCAGATAGTTTTGCAAAGCCCTGTACTTCTTGGATCCAATATCTATGGTCAACTTAATCTTACATAAGGCTAGGCTAGTTCAGTTCATTGGCCAAGCAGAATGCTTTCAACCACCTAAAACATAACACCTTATGCAATCTAAAACAATCAATTAATAGAAACCTAATACAAATCCCCTCCTTGGCAGGTAATGGCAGAAGTCTCCATAAAGACCTTCTTGAGTTTCTGGGCTGGAATGGCAAATCTGGTCACCTGGAACATATTAAATATAGCCTTCAAAGTGAAAAGTGAATCTTATCCGTATTAGCAACTGCCCTGTCCTGTCTTAATCTGCCAAGGACTTTCTTCTTTGGAAGGCCGTGAACAGGGCAACGCAATGGCAGGCCGACATCTAAAGCTGGTGGTGGCCCACTTAGGCAAACTGGTAACGTTTTCAAGGCAAAGAGATGTTCAGAGGTGGTTGGTTCTTTGGTGGTCTCCAGTGTTCCCTCTAAGTTAATGCGAGCTAGCTTTAATGCCAGTAGCTCACAAAGTAGAAATTTATGCTCACAACCCGGCAGGGCTCTTTTTGTAGCAGGAACTCCTTTGCATATTAGGCAAGGATGTAGCCAATCGGCCAAGAGCTTACAGTAGCCCCTGTAAGAAGAACTCTGTAAGCTCTTGGAGGATTGGCTACATTAGGGGTGTGTCGCCGCCTAATAGGCAAAGGAGTTCCTGCTACAAAGAGAGCCCTGCAAGACTCCACAGCTTAGCGGGAACATTGGTGGTCTCCCATGCAAATATTAAACAGGGCCAACCCCTGCTTAGCTTCTGAGATCTTGTGAGATTAGGCCACTCTGGTCCATCCTGATCTGGGTAGGGTTGTCCCTTCTGGGTTGGGAACTACCTGAAGATTTTGGGGATGGAGTCTGGGTAGAGTTGCCAACCTCCAGGTGGTGGCTGGAGGTCTTCTGCTGTAACACTTGGAATTCACTGGCAGCTACAAGCATGGACGGCTTCAAAAGGGAATTAGATAAGCATATGGAGCAGAGGTCCATCAGTGGCTATTAGCCACAAGGTATAGATAGGGACTCTGGGGCAAGTGATGCTCTGACATCTTGGTGCTTGGGGGGGGTCAACAGTGGGAGGGCTTCTAATGTCCTGGCCCCACTGGTGGACCTCCTGATGGCACTGGTATTTCTGGCCACTGTGGGATACAGAGTGTTGGACTGGATGGGCCTTTGGCCTGATCCAACATTGGC